GTGCGGTGTCGGTTGAAGAGCCACCATTTTCCTCAATCTGGAAAGCCAGTAGGCATGTATGAAAGAGTATCACTTACCTGATCTGCAAAATGTCTGACTGCTAGCTATACTTCGTATAACTGTGTATAAATTGGTCTTACAGCGACTAAAACAAAGGTGCCTTGTCCCCGGTAAAGCCATTTTGATATGAAATGTGTTTGTTGTGCCTGAGGTGCCAATTGCGTTTTTTGGGCATTCTTTTCAGCTGGTAATATATATATTTTTTTTTTTAATAATCAGAACAAAAAGAAATAATAATAATAATAATAATAATTTTTATCATTTGGTAACATTTACTTTCAAATGCGGATTTCATGTTTTCTATGCATCTTTATTATCTTTGCTCTTTAATTGGTATACAACTTTACAAGAGATATTTTAGATGACCAGCCAAACGTAGCTTTATTCTTTTATGCCCTGTGTACAAGGACATATCAATGTACATAATAAACAATTTTAACTGCTGTGAGGGAAAATGGGAATAGGTGTCGACAGATGGTTGCAAAACATTTTTATTTGCAAGTTTTGTTACCTTTTACAACACTCTTTTAATCCATTGCACAGCAGTATGGATTAAAGCATTGTTTTTGGTATGCTTTTTTTACTGTGTTTTTGTACAAGTTTTTAACTTAACCATTTGTTATAAAATATTTTCTTTGAAATTAATACTCAAAAATCATTAATAAATACAGTACCTACAAAACGAAATTGACATGATGCATGGTGTTATGATTTTCTTTAAATTTTATTTTTAAAATGAAAGAGGTTAAGTTTGAATGGACATTTAAACACAGTGTGCAAACCAATTTAAAAAAAATAAACGCCATCCCCCCTCTCCTCATGTCCCCCTCTTTGGAAGGTAAGAGGCAATGTTTGTTTTTATCTATATAAAACTGCAAAACATTCTGAAATTAGTTGATGTCGATAAAGGATTGTTGATAATATATCTTTTATGTTTAGGGATTAAAGTTTTTTCTTCAACTTTGCACAATACCTACAAGTATCAATCAATTACCAACTTACAATCATAATAAACAAAAATTACTTTATACCATCATTTCATCTTCATTTCTACAGAAAATACTATGTGTGACCATATAGAAAAACCTTAAACAATATGGAAAGACTATAAAAACCATGCATTTGCCACATTTTCGACTGAACATCACTCATAAAACACATATTTAGCATGATCTTTCATTAGCCATGATAAGTTTATTCTTTCATTTCAAGCTTCACATACATGACTCCTGAGGTTTGAATCACTGATCTTCATGATCTGTTAAGTGAAAAAAAAGTGAAAAATTTCAATGTTCCAGGCAGCTACTAGTACATGTAAGATTACAATTACTATACGCTCCCTACTGTACATATCAGTTTATACTCACTGCCATGCCATGTGAGGCCCAGTGAGTGCTTTGAGGAAAAACCTGAATACTCTGAGTGTCATGTCAGCTGAAGGTTATATTGGTAATATTTACAACTTAATCTTTAAACAGTACAGGAAAGTAGGGTATCTAAAAACATTTTGAGATAGGCTGAAGCATTTCTAGTGAAGTCATGGGTTTGGATTGCAAAATATGGAATAACTTCAGATTCAAAATGCCATTCATTAATTGTGAGGTAGGAGGGTAACTAATTTTTCTTCACGTCTGTAACAGTCGCTCAACCTCAATCACCCAATCTTATTTCTCTGACACCATCTATCACACTAAAGTCCTGTTCATTAAGATTTCTTCCAAGCATTACTGTTACACCAACAACTCCCCACCGCTGAACACTGCATTGATCTTTTGTTCCATTCAGCTCCTAGTAGAGACCAGTGCTACAGCCATCACAGAATGTTGAAGAGTTTTTCTTGTACTGCAGTGACATCTACAGTGCTTGTCATGTGTCCACAGGGGGTCCAAATTGTTCTATAGTCTGTGTCACTAATGTCAAATGATCCAAGAATGAATTAACACTAACACGTAATGTTCTTGCTTCCTTGGCTTGAAAGTGTCTGGAATGAAAATACAAATATATATCAAAACCATCCTAAAAATATATTTTACTTATGCAAAGAAAGCTAGACAATGCAGCAATAACTCTTATATCTTATACTGACAAAAAAAAAAAAAACCATACAATTTTAAACAATGTACATATACTAAATATTCAAACAACATAATCTTATTCTGGTTCAAACTGGTGTTGCAGTTTAAATGATACAAGCACATCCGTTATTTCATAAAATGAACATAATTTGCTTTATGATAAATGAATTTAACTTCACAAACTTATCTCAGACAGATGTCCTTTTATTATTTTCTTAATAAGACTAGGAAACCTCTTACATCTGCAAAACTTTTTCATTAAGAGTGAAAGTTTTCTTCACTCCACCCCTCTTGGGTTCCTTGTCTACACTCAGAGTCCTGTATGCTATCTCTGCCTCTCTTATACTGCTGAACGGTACACTGAGATCCCTGATAAAGCCATTGGTCAAGGAAATGAAACAAAGAACTAAGCATTAAATGTGTGACAAATTACTTGGTTCTACATATTGAAATCACACGTACTGGTATATACATGTAGATGCACGGGAGCTCCATTATTAATGATTAACACTACATACATAGTAATTATCATACATCCAGTATGGACCATGTTGAGTATATCTATATTAATATACAAATTTAACTGAAGAGAAAAATACTATGCAATACATTATTTTTACATCTGCTGCACTGGTATTTTTTTAACCCAAAAGTAAAAGGATATATATATATATATATATTACTTTAAAAATTTTTGGATAGGTCCAAACCCTGTTATACGTCATGATATTCAAATCGAACTGATGAGTTATTTAAACACATATCAAAAGGCTACATTACTGGAACAGTAGCTAAACAACATATTAAAGTGAAAAAATAAAAAAGAAATTACCAATAATAATAATAATAATAATAATAATTAAATCAAAAAATAATAATCAGTAATTTCGGTGAAATATTTTGAATGCGACGATCTCCTTAAGCAACCCGCCTTCTTTTTACCGAAGTAGTCTACAAGCCTCTACGAAAAACCCAAGAAAATAAAAAATAAAGCCTACCCCCACGGTGAGCAAGAGGGCACAAACATCTACCGAGCTAGGTGTTTGGCGGCAACGGACAGATACAGAGAACACAATATATGCAGACACATTCAGTGTCTGAGTATAATGAGGGACCTGAAGACACAAACTATTAATAAACCGACAGTAAAAGACTAATGCTGTGCTGCAATACAAGGATACATTGTCAACGACCTTTCTTCGTCCACTTCCTCCATGCTGTTTTTATGTTGCATTATGCACGTGCAATGTTTATTATATTCCCAAAAGTTTATGGTATTCCTGAGGAATGAGATAAAAAATCATCATATTTTATATCTTTGAAAGTAATTTTTAACATAATTTCTCCAATTTATAAACTGTTAGCTATTATATATATTATATACATCTATTTATACTTGTCCATCTTTATAATGCGCGTTTGAGTCGATCACAACCGTGTAAATCCATGACGTCAGTTCCGCTTGAACTGCTAACGAGCTATAAATAAAATCTTCCCTGTGTATTGTTAAAGAAACTTCCCTCATTTGACGTCATTCGCGAGAGGGATTAAGGGACTATTTACAAGTTTGTCATCTGGGTTCCGGAAACCACAAGAAGGCCAGGAAGGAGAGGAAGGTGAACACATCAAAATGGGTCTCCTTTTCACAAAAATATGGAATCTTTTTACGAACGAAGGTAAGGAATTTTTTCATAATGACACTCCACTGTCCAACTTTCAAGCCCATGTAATAACAGAGACTTGCGGATGACTGTTTTGGTTTTTTTGTGGGTAGGAAATCAGCGTGTATGATTCAGCAGTGAAGTTGGTGTCAGAGACACAGTGTGAAGAAGTCCCATTTAAAATCAGTTTTTCACTTCAGTTTGAAGTTTAATGATGACGTTTCGTTTGGTCTCTACATAGACTTAACTGCCGTTACTCACGTTTTCTCTCTTTTAATTTGACATGTCACATATTATGAGTTGAGCCCCAAGCCATGTGTTGAATTGTCATTCCTTTGTGTGTCAAGTCCAAGTCAAAAGTTTTTTAAATCTCAGATTTCCCTGGTTTAAGTGGCAGTGTAAATACATGTCTCACTTAATGTGGATTATTCAGTGTTAGATGTAATTAAGCTTCTGTGTCTTGAATCTAGATTTTATTTTCAAAATGTGACATGAATTGATGTTGGCTGAGTGGCATCACTTGTCTTCCACACACCATATTACTGTATGCTGTATATATAAATGTCAGATTGGCTTGGTTGACAATCTCATGAGAGATGGGGAGTAGAAATTTTGTCATTTTCTTATGATGTGTGGATTTCAGATTATGAATCGTCTGAAGGTTAGACAAATTATAATTATTAGGGGGTTTAACTTATTTGTTTACTCCAACAACGTGCCATGTGAAGAGGTGAAAACATCCTTGCTTGTGTAATGTGCTAGTAAGTCTGTCTGAGGTTGATATTAGTGGTTAGTCATTCTCTCTCTCTCTCTCTCTCTTACAAACAAAATATATAATACTCTCTCTCTCTCTCTCTCTCTCTCTCTCTCTCTCACACACAAACACACACAAACACATACACACACACACACACACACACACACTGATCTCTTCTTCTCTTGGTGGACATCAGAGATGATACCATATATTTATGACAGACTTAAAAATTTCCTTGTTGTTATCAGTCATGCATCTTTTCCTTACGATGCCATCAGTGTTCTCTGAATTTCTTGGTATTTCCTCATATGATTATAATGGAATGCAGGGGTGAAACACTGAGCTAAGGTCATGAACTGGAACTGCCACATGGAATTTTGTATATTGTTTAGTTCCACACACTCAAACCATCTCGCATGTATTAGGTAGTTCTCAAATGTTTTTAGTTTTGACTTTAATGTGTTTAAATAACTTAGGTTTGAGAGGTGAGCTACAAATGTGGCCCCTCTATTCTCTCCCCCCTTCCTCCCCACTAACACCTACTCCTAACAAAGCACCAAATGCTGTTTTAAAAGGAGAATAGGAATTTTATTTTTAAAAAAATATTAATTGAATTATCTTCAAGCATTATTGAAAAAGTATTGCCAATACATGAAAATGTGATACTAGTGTGCTGTCTTCAAGCAAACAAACCAATTTGCTGATTTGTTGATAAAAGCAAGAATGTTGATAACAAATACATCAGTGATTCAGACAGTGATCTACATACACAAGATGGAGTGATTTGCAATTGTTGAATAAACCAAATAAAGAGGTAGTCAGTAATGTCTGACTCTACATTGTCAAGACAATGTAATTTTCCAAAATGTACTAGTACATGAGGAATGTAGTTTGGGTTTTGAAGAACAGCCAGGGAGGTCGGCATGACCACAGTGCTTTGGCCTACTACCTGTCCAGCCTGTTATCCAAGCAATATAACAATGTCTGTATTGTATATGGGTTTAGCCATCTGGAAGTATGGCCTCTTTCTCTTTCTCTTGACTGCTTTTTCATCCATATTTGCATGGTGCACTTGGCATTGCTTTGAGCAAAAGACATAAATTAACTTACTAGTAGTAATATCTTGCTCAGTCAATGTACATGTACTTTTAAAGTGGACTACTTTTTCTAAATTATCCAGATCAAAGCAAGTTATTTTTTGCTTTAATGGGAAAAACCATTAAACCTTATATGTTTATTCCAAAGGGCTTATTAGTAGAGACAAACTTGAATTGACTTTTCATTCTGAAATGGAGTGGAATATCTTTGTTTAACATAAGATAGAAAGACACATACAAAGTTCAGTAATGTTGGATGTTGCCGAAGGTCAAATAAGGGAAATTTACAGAGTTGATTATTGAACAGATTGTGTAACTCTCTGTTAAAATAACAAGTGGTCATTTCCAGTCNCCATACAATTTTAAACAATGTACATATACTAAATATTCAAACAACATAATCTTATTCTGGTTCAAACTGGTGTTGCAGTTTAAATGATACAAGCACATCCGTTATTTCATAAAATGAACATAATTTGCTTTATGATAAATGAATTTAACTTCACAAACTTATCTCAGACAGATGTCCTTTTATTATTTTCTTAATAAGACTAGGAAACCTCTTACATCTGCAAAACTTTTTCATTAAGAGTGAAAGTTTTCTTCACTCCACCCCTCTTGGGTTCCTTGTCTACACTCAGAGTCCTGTATGCTATCTCTGCCTCTCTTATACTGCTGAACGGTACACTGAGATCCCTGATAAAGCCATTGGTCAAGGAAATGAAACAAAGAACTAAGCATTAAATGTGTGACAAATTACTTGGTTCTACATATTGAAATCACACGTACTGGTATATACATGTAGATGCACGGGAGCTCCATTATTAATGATTAACACTACATACATAGTAATTATCATACATCCAGTATGGACCATGTTGAGTATATCTATATTAATATACAAATTTAACTGAAGAGAAAAATACTATGCAATACATTATTTTTACATCTGCTGCACTGGTATTTTTTTAACCCAAAAGTAAAAGGAATATATATATATATTACTTTAAAAATTTTTGGATAGGTCCAAACCCTGTTATACGTCATGATATTCAAATCGAACTGATGAGTTATTTAAACACATATCAAAAGGCTACATTACTGGGACAGTAGCTAAACAACATATTAAAGTGAAAAAATAAAAAAGAAATTACCAATAATAATAATAATAATAATAATAATAATAATAATTAAATCAAAAAATAATAATCAGTAATTTCGGTGAAATATTTTGAATGCGACGATCTCCTTAAGCAACCCGCCTTCTTTTTACCGAAGTAGTCTACAAGCCTCTACGAAAAACCCAAGAAAATAAAAAATAAAGCCTACCCCCACGGTGAGCAAGAGGGCACAAACATCTACCGAGCTAGGTGTTTGGCGGCAACGGACAGATACAGAGAACACAATATATGCAGACACATTCAGTGTCTGAGTATAATGAGGGACCTGAAGACACAAACTATTAATAAACCGACAGTAAAAGACTAATGCTGTGCTGCAATACAAGGATACATTGTCAACGACCTTTCTTCGTCCACTTCCTCCATGCTGTTTTTATGTTGCATTATGCACGTGCAATGTTTATTATATTCCCAAAAGTTTATGGTATTCCTGAGGAATGAGATAAAAAATCATCATATTTTATATCTTTGAAAGTAATTTTTAACATAATTTCTCCAATTTATAAACTGTTAGCTATTATATATATTATATACATCTATTTATACTTGTCCATCTTTATAATGCGCGTTTGAGTCGATCACAACCGTGTAAATCCATGACGTCAGTTCCGCTTGAACTGCTAACGAGCTATAAATAAAATCTTCCCTGTGTATTGTTAAAGAAACTTCCCTCATTTGACGTCATTCGCGAGAGGGATTAAGGGACTATTTACAAGTTTGTCATCTGGGTTCCGGAAACCACAAGAAGGCCAGGAAGGAGAGGAAGGTGAACACATCAAAATGGGTCTCCTTTTCACAAAAATATGGAATCTTTTTACGAACGAAGGTAAGGAATTTTTTCATAATGACACTCCACTGTCCAACTTTCAAGCCCATGTAATAACAGAGACTTGCGGATGACTGTTTTGGTTTTTTTGTGGGTAGGAAATCAGCGTGTATGATTCAGCAGTGAAGTTGGTGTCAGAGACACAGTGTGAAGAAGTCCCATTTAAAATCAGTTTTTCACTTCAGTTTGAAGTTTAATGATGACGTTTCGTTTGGTCTCTACATAGACTTAACTGCCGTTACTCACGTTTTCTCTCTTTTAATTTGACATGTCACATATTATGAGTTGAGCCCCAAGCCATGTGTTGAATTGTCATTCCTTTGTGTGTCAAGTCCAAGTCAAAAGGTTTTTTAAATCTCAGATTTCCCTGGTTTAAGTGGCAGTGTAAATATTCATGTCTCACTTAATGTGGATTATTCAGTGTTAGATGTAATTAAGCTTCTGTGTCTTGAATCTAGATTTTGTTTTCAAAATGTGACATGAATTGATGTTGGCTGAGTGGCATCACTTGTCTTCCACACACCATATTACTGTATGCTGTATATATAAATGTCAGATTGGCTTGGTTGACAATCTCATGAGAGATGGGGAGTAGAAATTTTGTCATTTTCTTATGATGTGTGGATTTCAGATTATGAATCGTCTGAAGGTTAGACAAATTATAATTATTAGGGGGTTTAACTTATTTGTTTACTCCAACAACGTGCCATGTGAAGAGGTGAAAACATCCTTGCTTGTGTAATGTGCTAGTAAGTCTGTCTGAGGTTGATATTAGTGGTTAGTCATTCTCTCTCTCTCTCTCTCTCTTACAAACAAAATATATAATACTCTCTCTCTCTCTCTCTCTCTCTCTCTCTCTCTCACACACACACACACACACACACACACACACACACACACACACACACACTGATCTCTTCTTCTCTTGGTGGACATCAGAGATGATACCATATATTTATGACAGACTTAAAAATTTCCTTGTTGTTATCAGTCATGCATCTTTTCCTTACGATGCCATCAGTGTTCTCTGAATTTCTTGGTATTTCCTCATATGATTATAATGGAATGCAGGGGTGAAACACTGAGCTAAGGTCATGAACTGGAACTGCCACATGGAATTTTGTATATTGTTTAGTTCCACACACTCAAACCAGCTCGCATGTATTAGGTAGTTCTCAAATGTTTTTAGTTTTGACTTTAATGTGTTTAAATAACTTAGGTTTGAGAGGTGAGCTACAAATGTGGCCCCTCTATTCTCTCCCCCCCTTCCTCCCCACTAACACCTACTCCTAACAAAGCACCAAATGCTGTTTTAAAAGGAGAATAGGAATTTTATTTTTAAAAAAATATTAATTGAATTATCTTCAAGCATTATTGAAAAAGTATTGCCAATACATGAAAATGTGATATAGTTGCTGTCTTCAAGCAAACAAACCAATTTGCTGATTTGTTGATAAAAGCAAGAATGTTGATAACAAATACATCAGTGATTCAGACAGTGATCTACATACACAAGATGGAGTGATTTGCAATTGTTGAATAAACCAAATAAAGAGGTAGTCAGTAATGTCTGACTCTACATTGTCAAGACAATGTAATTTTCCAAAATGTACTAGTACATGAGGAATGTAGTTTGGGTTTTGAAGAACAGCCAGGGAGGTCGGCATGACCACAGTGCTTTGACCTACTACCTGTCCAGCCTGTTATCCAAGCAATATAACAATGTCTGTATTGTATATGGGTTTAGCCATCTGGAAGTATGGCCTCTTTCTCTTTCTCTTGACTGCTTTTTCATCCATATTTGCATGGTGCACTTGGCATTGCTTTGAGCAAAAGACATAAATTAACTTACTAGTAGTAATATCTTGCTCAGTCAATGTACTTTTAAAGTGGACTACTTTTTCTAAATTATCCAGATCAAAGCAAGTTATTTTTTGCTTTAATGGGAAAAACCATTAAACCTTATATGTTTATTCCAAAGGGCTTATTAGTAGAGACAAACTTGAATTGACTTTTCATTCTGAAATGGAGTGGAATATCTTTGTTTAACATAAGATAGAAAGACACATACAAAGTTCAGTAATGTTGGATGTTGCCGAAGGTCAAATAAGGGAAATTTACAGAGTTGATTATTGAACAGATTGTGTAACTCTCTGTTAAAATAACAAGTGGTCATTTCCAGTCAAGTGTCTCAATTTACTGTGTCCAGTACCTGAATAGACTGGGAGACGGGATAAACTGATATTGACCAGTGCTTTAGATACTAAACCATGACTGTCGTCAGCACAGGTGACATACTGTAGTTTGATCCATATACTTACGCAAGTGAAGGGTTGTGTGGATTACTTACTAGTACAGTAGCCATCCTGATTAACATGGCCTCGGATGGCTTTTTTAAATAAAAAGAAACCATTAGGGAACTTCCCTTGGATGTTGACATTAAAACTTAAAACTGTGGATGAATTTGAAGATATGAGTTTGCTTTTCTCATTAAGTTCCACGCATCCAACCCAACAACCCCCTGGAAGAATTTTATGAAAATAAAGAAACTGTTTGGGGCATATATATTGTAATTCAGTGATCTTAATGACAGTCCCTTCTTTAATCCTGAAATGCCAAAGAAGCCAAAAGATCTTGTTTTTTATATTTGTAAAGGGAGGGGGTGGTGGAGTATATGTAAGGGGGAAGGGGTGCTTCCAAACTGTTATCAGTCTTTTTGCGGTACCCAAACGCATACATAAAGCAAGGAGTTTTTTTTCTAATTGATTTATTTCATTGTTACATTCTGTTAGATGAGGTGTAGTCATGCAATACACCACTCTGTGGGTTGGGTTATATCAATCAGTACCTCTAGACTAGTGCTTTGCTATAAGGAACTTAAACAGTACTCTACTAGTTCTATGCGCCTTATGAAGCTCATTACTGCTATATAAGTGGCATAGGGTTTTTATTTACTAGTAAGCTCATTTGTTCCTTCGAGCTAATGAGGTGTTACACATACAGGCCAGTTACAGGGGCTAATTAAGTTACAGATATAGACCAGTTACAGTTTTATAATCATATATACAGACAATGTTCTTCAAGATGACAATGTGCACCTTTTTACCCCTTTTAGTTGACCCAAGTTAAAAAAGAACATGAAAAGCTACAAGTAGTCTAACAGATGTTGATTTCAATGGGCAGTTTCAACTTCCAAGTGACCTTTTTCTAGCCATGTGGGCAGTTCTTTCACACACACACACACACACACACACACACACACACACACACTCTTGCCCACATACTTATGTTTCTGAATATTAGCAGTGTTAAAGTACTAGTAACTACTAGTATAGGCATCATTTATACAGCACTGTCTCGAGTCAGTTTTTCCCTACCAGAGACCCTTCAAGCTCTTACAGTACATAAGAAGTCTGTAATTTGAGGTCTTAAAATCAAGACCAATATGAGGTTAAAAGTTCTTCAGTTAAACAAGAACCAGTGCCTCTTAACCATTTCCTTCCTGTTTTCTGTTAGTCTAGACTTCTTATCAATATTTGTTTAACTTGTCTAAGCAGTTTGGGTGCTGTTCTCATATATATATTTGACTGAGCTAGTTTCGGGTTAATAACAAACCTGGCAACAAATAAGATAGGGTTACAAGGATGAGATTCTTCCACCTTTTGGCAAATGTCCTCATTTTTGTACATATGGCATTATATTAAAGAGCTCTCAGAAAGTTGCTAGGTTTGTTTGGAATAATCAGAAAGTGAGAAACTTCAGGGAGGAGGGGGTGATATACTTTATATTCAATTAGCAATTATTTGATAGCAGTGATTAAAAAATAATAAGCAGATCATGAGATATATTCAAACTAACAGCTGAAATAACAGCTTTAGACCTAAAACCTGTTTTACTTTGAGACAAGTTTTGTAAAGATGAATCATTTGCCAGACATTTTGCTTAGAGTCTAATCCTCCTTAGGCTATAAATTCACTGTCTCAGTGGCAGTATTTTGACAGTCATTTTTGAGGTAGTTTTAATTTTAGAATCTGTTGTGTTTCTGCACAGGCCTTTTCAATCACTTCTCTCTGATTATCATAATTTTTTTCTGTGAACCATGACTAGCAAAAGGTAACATTTTTGTGGAGAATTATTTCTATTTCTTAAGGTTATTATATTTTTCAAAAGTCATGGCATGGGTTGTTGATTCATGAGTGTAATTTAGCTTGAATTCAAGTATTTTGAGATGTGTCATGATGCAAAATGTGGTGTGCTTCACTAGCTCTCCATAAGCTGCTGTTTTCACTTCAGGAGGTTTTCTGAGGTAACATTCAAGACTGTTGCAATGAAAATCATTTCTTTACTTTTGCCAGAAAGTAAGCAATTGGACTGTTAAATTTTTCATGTCTATTAAAAAAGTCTTTACTCCAGGCAGTAATTAAGCCTGAGTCTTCGATATTTTGATTTTCATTAAACTTTTTTTACATAATTTTTCATAATAATAGTCACATAATTATAACTGTTTCAAATAGTCTGTCTTGAGAATTTGTAGAGTTTGCCCATAATTTCTTGAGCTACATGCTAGCATTACAGACACACATCCCTAAAATCATCACCTCTTTATTGGCAGAGGTAAGATAAGAAAGTGAAACATTAGGCTGCTGAGAGGTTTGTCCCCTCCAGCCATTCACTGCACTCACT